TATATTGGCCCCTGAGCCTTGCCACGCGAGGTCGGTATACGAAAAGAGTCACTTGTTCTATAAGTCGTGCGAGATCTATACGTCTACTCTATCCGATCATGAGGCCCGGACCCTTTCCGTAACACTCCTAGATTGTATGATAATCCTCGCGGAAGATGGCCGCAGTCACTTCGCCTTCAATATCCGCATACGCGACATAATCCTTGAATAACCCTGTCTCGACATCGCGATCGATCACAACGACGCGGCCATCCCCCTGTAGTGAGACAGCCGCTAAGTTGCCATCCGCGTTGATCGAGAAGTGCCGGGGTACCCTACCACCAGCTGCGAATTCCTGCACTTTCGTCAAGTTTCCAGTTGCGCGGTCAATCGAATACTATAGTGTTCGGGGTCAGCAACAATTCAACGTAAGGGTATAGCCATGAGCCTTGGGCACTAGGAGATCCTAGGTAGGCTCCTAGGAAGCACTTCCTTCGAAAAAGGGGAGGGGCAGTGGGCAACTTTGAAATACTCACGGTTATGAGTGGGTCTGAAGGGATCTCAGTGCTGTTACTGGGATCGAAGTTCGTGATGTTAAACGAATCCTCCCAGCGAGATGATACGATCAAGAACTTTCCATCGGGCTTTATGTCGTGTTAGTATTGTCTTAAATCACGGCCGTAGCATTCAACGCCAAGGACTTCGTTGTTACACTTACCGACACGAGAATCTCAGCCGCACCTGTCTTTTCTGGTAACGTCCTCTCTTCGCCGTGCGTAGGGATGAAGAATAACTCGTTCAAGCTGAGAGTCTTATTTTCATTGTATATGACCTCATACCCCGTGATCGTGTTACCGAGTTCAGAGACCAGGTAGAAGTAAGTCTTCTCTGACGTTACCGTGAACGCGCCGTGCCTTGGCCCAGACCCGGGCCGTACGGTGAGAGGGGCGATAGGTGTCAAACCGAGGGTACTAGCATCGGCCTGGTAGATACGGACGAGGTCGGCACCTAGATCTGGTACCAGAACGTACGACGCGGTAGGGTCTAAGATCGACTCGTGTGGATGAGGCGCCTCCTGTCGTTCGGGGTTGGGACCAGGTCCCTCAAGCGTATAAGTCTCATTGTGCACTAGAGTGAGATTGCCCTCGGCATTGAAGCCAACGACGCTGACGCTAGAGCCAGAACTAGATAGAATTGGTCAGAGACGATGAGAAGATTTTGTTCAGATGATGCTCGTGATTTGATATTGCAAAGAGAGCCAAGAAAAGGGAGTGGACTGCGAACCACCGAGCAAGTTCGCCGCATGCGGAGAAGCTGGGTGAAGGTTGGCTTACTAGTGTGCTATGGCAAGTCCGCTCCCACCAACGCCGAACTCAGCAATGCTAACTGGCCCTTGTATCACATCAAGCTTGTCCAGCGTGGTCAGCGTCCCGTCATCGTTAGTGAAGAAGGTGGTCACGCCTCCGTAGGGACCGTTGAAACCCTCATCCAGACAGAAGAGGAAGTTTTTGGAGTAGTCGAGTGAGAGCCATGACGGATTCGGACCACAGCCCGTCGAGTTGGAGATACTCTCAAGGGTAGTAGCAGCAGCGGTGGCGGAGCCGTCGTCGGGCAGGGTTAGACGTAAAGTCGTGACGGTACCAGCATAGGAGGACACATAAAGGAGGGTAGCGGATGCCTGGCCAGCTAATCCTAGGGATAGTAGCCCTGCGGGGAAGATGTCTTTCCACATGGTTGGACGCTTCAACTCGTCGATCGACTGACTGGTCTGAATCAACTGATGGGCGAGGATGAAGAAGGCAAACAGAAAAGCCACGCCAGCGGTGGCTATTAAGCCAACGCTACGGGCTCTCGCAATCTGCCCACCGTTTGTCATCATAGCTTGTATCCTCTTCCCCCTCGGAGGCATACAAGATCTATTGACCTCAAATGGTAATCGCCCATCGTCAGTATCCCTGCCTCCTTAACTAAGTTGGGTTTATCCGGAGGGACCCTGCGGTTTACCCTGGTCCGGTACTGTATGAAATCCGGAAAAAATTGGCTAGCCGAGACTATTATGCACGTATTATTTATGATGTATAATACATAGGCGCAAGGGCCAAGCCACTGGTGTAGAAGAGCACAACAGTATGGGACCTTTTTGTTATGGAATCATGGTTCTCTGGTTGTATGTAGGATGACAAGTTTTTTAGTCTGCTGCAGGGGTATGGGGAGAGAAATTGGAGGAGGCTTGTGACAACAGCATAGCGAGCCCTTCCTTTCATGCCCAAGTCCAATGAACGAACTCGAAGAAGTTGGAGTAAAGAATCTAGGCTGGTGACACACGGGAGATGGCGTTGCAATGCGGAGGAGAAAAGGTAAAAGGTGGAGAAAAGACGGGACGGTTTATTAGTGAGATGAACTGGACTTTGAAGCTTTCCGGTAGAGACAGACAGGGGTAGGGCTTTGTCAAGCCGGGGTCGATACAGGGCTTCCCCATTGATGTCTATCATGCTCCGTCGTCTCAGCTTTAACTCTTTCCGGGGCAATGTGAAGGATCAGCACGATGGTTTAAAGCCGTAGACTTTTAACTAATATATATATAACTATATATATAAGCACCTAATTACAATAGTATCATTGTTGGCGGAGAGGAACCTCCTCTCCCTCTTGCAACAAGTAGATTATTTCATGGAAAATGATATATTATTACGCTCGGAGTAGAAGGGAACTGATAGCTTAGGAGGGTGTCATCGCCCTGAAAGTCAATTAATCGTGTCGCATCGCTAAGTCCCGAACGCGGAGATCACTTGAGCTGTTCTAATGCGACCTTAGGCTTCAAATCAGGTTGTGCCCTGCTTGCTAGGTTTAACTAGCGCTTGTACCATGTTAGGCATCCCGCAATTGGATATTCAATGTCATCTTAGTAGGTAGCTTGCTATGCCGTGTCAAGCGTGTCTAAGTCGAATGGACTACTACTCTGCACACTACCCCTGCGTTGCTCTCAAAGACACTCACAGGGAGAGGCTACTGCAAGAAAGTCGACATAGTCACAACTGTAACCTCGAGCGTAGCACCAAGAGACGGGAATGGTGCTTGCTATTTTTCAATGGCCCGACCTGGAAATCTAAGGACAAGAAGGGCTACACTCACGACATAATAGGATAGGAACCATTTACTACTTGCAGATATGGGTACTAGAAGACCAATCAACCAAGGCATGCATGCCACTCACCCTACCTACGCCAGATATATGTTATTCTCCGTAATGCTTTAACCTAGTGCCTTACGGTCTGTCTGATGGCTGAGTCGACCCGGTCTCCGAAATTCCTAGCACCCAAGTACTACTCTCGTTCACTCAGACCGCTAACCTTGGAAACTCGGCCGACAACATGGATAACGATCCTAGCAGGAGGAGAGAAAAAAGAACCTTGGCTTTCATCTGATCAACTACCATGGGGACGACTAGTCCACCGGTGTGACTATATCCAAACTAAGCTATATAATTCCGCCAAACAGTTACGACAGAAAAGTTAGAACGCCCATTTAGACCAAAAACCCTCTCCTAGCTACGTCCATTAAGCCCAATACGGCAGCATCAGAAGTCTAAAAGGACGTTGCCAAGAAATAGTCCACATGGCCGATAGCCATCCTCGGCGTAAATCTCCCTCTACTGTCACATAACTCAATCTCACTGCGTAACATTTACGTTTCAGGGACACTATAATGCAGCCGTGAGAACCGTCTCCCACGCCGAGTTCCTATCACGAACGATTATTACACCCAGCCTACAGGATGTCATTTAGGCCGACGTACATATAAACGGATACCACCGACGTGGAACCCGCAATATACTACTTCCCAAACGAGAGAGGTTGACAGTGTTACCTCACCTCGTGGCCAAAAGCAGAAAGATGGAGGAAAAGGGGGCTAAACGCGGTTAAAAGAGCCTCACCCGGAATGCTTTGCTTCCAGCGCTAGCAGCTTAATACCGCGTCGTCTCGCTACCGTGAATTAAAACTATGAAAGCTGCCCGTTCAAGGGATGATAATTCGGATGTTGATCTAACACCGAACCTAGGCTCTGTAGCCGATGCAAACACGTCCCTTTTTAGGAGTTAAAAAGTGACAATGGCATACTATAGCTGTTGATAGTTGGAAACAACGGTGAACATAAGATATTTCGTAATCGTTGTATCAAAAGGACTGTATACACCATAAGTTATTAAGGTAATCATCTAGTTAAACTATACTATTCATTATTTTGAATATTCATCCCTGAATTTATTAAGTGTAGTGTGTAAAAAGATGTGACTACCCAGGTAGAGTTAACGGTAATGGATAAATCTTTATACCTAGTATAATAACAAGACAAGACAACCGTGTATGTCCCCAGATGCCCCTCGATACATCCCTTAATGATATGATGTTTAATATCAAACACTTCCCTTAAAACGAGACAAGCGCCAATCGGAATAAAGTAATATCAACGTAGGCTCGAGGGCACGTATTAGCCCATATTGAACCAAAACTTTTCTTTTCCAGACTATCTCCGAATCTAGAAACCAATTTGGCGCACAATTAGCCCGTGGTGGGAAATCCGTGACCTTGATAGTGCCAGAACGGAGCCCAGCAGATTGATAATAGTAGAGACGTTCACTCTAGTCCTAGTACTGTTCTCTTTTTTGTCGATCATCTCCTTAAGATCCCTTTTGGCCTTTATTTACTGACGCATCTGCTAGAGCATTTTGTTGCCCTTCGTTTCGATGCTCTATAGCATCATGTGGAGACACGCATATATTCTTTAATCGTCGAGTATGACTTCATCCCATCCCATCGTTGACCTCCTGTCAGCTAGACTGTAGCTTGTGTGCTTTATCACGACACGACCTGTTCTCTCATTATCATGTTGTCTTTCTATCCTGTGTTCCGCATGTAAATTGAGGGGCCTCGCGATGAGCAGTCGAGTGTCTAGATTAGGAAGACGTAATGGAGATGTGATAATTTGAAACCTCCACGGAACGAGAAGTTTTAGCCTTAACTCTAACCTAGTAAGCTGACCATTGGTTCAGGCCAACTTCCCCAGAGAAGGGGCCTGTCCCCTAAGCGGGCGCTGACAGGGGCTAGAACCTTGAGCTTCCGTCGCTTCTCATCGACCTCAGCCACATACACGTAGCCCATAACGTTGGAATCACGGATAGTATCCGCTGAGTCGTGGACTGATGCGTAGATAACTGATAGGATGCAATTTTGTATCATAAGCGACGGCTCGATCTTCTCAAGCATCGTGTCGCTATATATGTCGTCTTCTAATGTCGCTGAGGCAGATGCTATTTCTCCATTAGTATAATTACTCTTAAGGTGAACCATGTGGAATGAATATATACCTTGGTTAACTTTCCAGATCGACAAGGCTGAGAAGTCAACTTGCTGCGTAAAGGGACTCAGCGTAGTATTCGTATCACCGAAGAAATACTCCTTAATAGCTGCTTCATGAACCTGTTGTAGGAATCCAGTATCTCTTTCCACAACGCCACCAGATTTATCTAGACTAACAACGGTGATTGGTTCATCTAGACTGGTCTTCTGCCCAGCAAATTTCTTCTGTATCTCGCTGCTGATACGTTCCGAACCTATCACGAGCACAATATTGACAGAGAACTCAGCGACTATATGTGCTATATGATCATAGCCTCCCTTAGAAACATTGACCCCACCGGTGTCAATCAGCAGTCCTGCTGTCTTTACATCGGGATCCTCAGTAAGTCGTGAGGTCGCTGTTACAGCTAGTCTACTCAATAACCTCTTATAAAGCCGCATATTTTCCTCAGGTTGTCCTAATCCGTAATTGTATACCAGCGGCAGTTTTACCGGCACAGCACTTGGCCCGCTACTCGGTGTGTTTCCCCAGTCCGTTGTGATATCAATAATGGTCGCGAATACAGCCGCGCTCAGCGATCCCGGCAGGGCAAGCATGCCCTCGCGACAATCTGTATTCACCACGAGGGGCTGGCGGCCCATGCGCGTTGCCCATCCCGTAAGCATCTTCACTAAACTTGTCTTGCCCGCGTTCGGCGGTCCCACGACAAGTATTCGCGGCCCCATCTGCCTTGTCTTATCCGCAGCTGTGCGAAGCGCCTCGAGTTTGAAGTGCAGATTTAGGTAGCTAACCATGGGGGTCTCTTCTGCTGTCAGCTCTGAGGTGTAGGCATCGTAGTTACCGGTGGGAGAGGAAATTTCGAGTGTACATCCATGCCAGGTATTTATCTTGGACTTCGTCGCGGTGAAAGTATAGGGTGTATTTGGGGCAAGTTCGGTGCCATCTTTCTCTGCGGTACCGGAGATTAACTTCATGTCTAGAGTCGAACCATGGGGGACCTCGAAGCGATACTCCCAGAAAGGTTCGAGAATCTCTGTTGTAGTCGGTGCTGCGGCGGAGGAAGATGTTATAACCGGGGCTGCCTGTTGGATATTAGCTAATTGTTCGAAATGACTTGGATTGGAGTGGCTTACGGCTGATGGTATCTCTCCTAGTCCTGGTATTGACATGTTTGCGTTGACTTATTGGTAAACCGAGGTCACTTAAGGAAGAGAAACTGGTATTAGATGGAAGGTAGAGAGGGTTGGAAGCACAACATCAAAAGCTTACAGCTAACATTATGTACCGAGCTACGGATCCGTACGGATTACTTAGGTACCTACTTCGTACCGTGCCGAACTTTAAATATAGTGGGCCCTCTGGCTTCTTTCTTCCTTGCAGTTTCCATAAGAGGGGCATCTGCACGTTACCTACCTCCTATGCAGGTACTTGACAGGTACATAGGTCGGCGTGGGGTAAACCACTTAAACCAATGAATTAACACTACCTACCTACCTGTTATGTATATCTAATTCAAACCTCTAGCATGCCCAATTCCCATTCAACTGTTCCTTTTTAATTAGATATATACGTGAAGATTGAGTGAAAGGAACAGATGGAATTCACAATATAACATGGGCATGTACTTAAGTACCAAGGTTAACTAACTATGTAGATAAAGATACGACACCTATAGTGGTATAAGTATGTATATGTAGTTCCGTTTTCTCACTTAAGTATATAAAAGGCAACATCTGACTCTACTATCAATAAGAGAGACTTAAATTTCATTGCAAATCGTAAGTGAGTCCTGAGTAGTGGTACTCTATCTACATATAACTAGAGTATTGTAATGGGTATCTTGAGGCAAAACTCCAGATATCTCCCCTCGAGACGCCAGGTGGACCTTTTCTATTTCATTCATTCGTCCATACAATGCCTGAATGAAATATGCTGATGCTGAATAATGCTTCCGAGTCATCTATGCGATCCTCTCTATTCCTCTTTCAAAGTCACAACTCATCTAAGTGTCACTCCGACATCTCCTCGAAGATATCCGCAAGACTCCTGACTCCAAGCAACACATTTTCGTCCGGCCCATGACCAGGCTTCCATGTTGCATGCGCAAAGTCAATCAACTTTAAGGTGTATATGTGCGGAAAGCTTGACTCCTCGTCCGAATCGTCCTCTAGCTCATCAAAGTCTTCCGCCATATCGGGCTCGTATAGATCCTCCTCGGTTATACCGATACCGCTATCCACCCTAAGGGTTGCGACTGGAGCTCGTGAGGTGCCTCTTTTGTGTTCTGGTATAGCAGCAGTAGTCTTTGCCTCTTCGATGGCCTCTCGTAGAGCTGCACCGTCACCTTCGAATACGAAAAGCAGACTAGAAGAGTACATTCGAGTCTCCTCTTTCTCAAGCACTTCTTGCACTTTCCGAAGGTCCTGGGCGAATAGCCCAGCAATCATCTTGCCGAGATCTTGGTCAATGCCGGCAGCCTCGTTGAATATGTACTTTTTGAACGAGTCGACTATGTTGCCATCGTTCACCGTAAGTCTCCCCCAATCTTTGTCATAAATCTTGAATCCTTCCTCATCTAATTCCGATTCGTCTGTGGATCCCTTATAAACTCTCATTCCCGCAACGCGAAAGCCGAATTTCTTGTGAGTAGTCTCCTCGGCGATCTTATTAAATCTCTCCTTCTTTTCCAAGGGTGCATCATCAGCCCATAGCCGAATTCCTAACTTCGCGTCCATAATATTTGGCTTTTTATACCCGAAGGATGCATTTTCTAACACCACTGCCTGATCCGTCGTAATCTTCCTCGTCTTGTTAGGAACCCATGTAATATTCTCAGAGATAATTTGCTTTTGGACAGGCGCTTCGAGTATAGGTTTCCGGTCGTCAAGGTGTAAATGTGACTGGATTTCTTCCTTGACAGAGAAAGGGATGTCGGCATGTTCGACAAGGTCTGGTATTCGCGCATGTATTGCAGCCTGGTCAGTTCCTTCATTCAATGATAGAGTGCCTATGTACATGGGCATGAACTCTGCGAAATCTGGATGGAGGGCGTGTGCCGATTCGTAGAATTCGACCTCGGACTTTGTACATGGCTTGATGAATAGTTCGCCGTCTGCGTCGCACATGGTTCCAGCACTACCAGCACAACTAGATTAGCATAAAAGAATAGTCAGACGGGAAAGTAGCGCAATACTGACTGTCCAGCGACAGCATAATTATAATCTTTCAAGTCGTCTCTCTTTGGAATTTCCCGCTCTCTACTCCCGGCATTCTTGCCGATGTCTCGCATAACTTGCATCTTCCTAAGATATGACGGTAGCAGCGTTGATGATGGTCAATGGCCAGCCTATTCGTCCCGCATACTCCAAATTGCGACGGGGACAAGATGTTTGGTAGGGCTGGAAGTTAGGTAGTGAAAGGACCAGTAATGAAGACGGAAAGTGGGTTTGATTGGTTGGCAAGCTGCAGTTGAATAGATCAGGTTCAACGAACACCTGACTGATAAATTCTAGTGGAAAAGGGGGGAGAATGAGTGTTCTTGAATGAGGGTAGTAATTGGGTGTATGTTACATTGTCTCATGAGTTTCAAAAGAGGTAGGTATGTTGCCAGAAATCTAGTGATTCACGGGGTTGCTAAAAGTAAGAGATTCAGGAAGGTTAATATCAATGTGGGACAAGGCGACACAAAGGAGCCAGAAGGATGATCTGAGCGCAAGAGTGCCATAATTGTAGAATTTAAGGGTCCCGCCGAGGTCAAAGGCCGACACGGGTCTGCTGAAATATCAAGTCCACGCCCGCCTACGTCAGCTACCTATCTACCGCGTACCTAACCAGAATTATGGAATAAATCTCGATTAGTACCTAAGGTTAGGTACCTGCTACAATATCAGGTACAGGTGTGCAGGTACCTACACCCACCCCAGCACTTATTAATGTACGTACGTGCATATACGCACCTGTGCACGCACCTAATGTATGCAGTGCTCAACTTTAAGCTGGACTACTGCAAAAAGAGGGAAAACGTTAATACATGTAGGACATACATACATAGGTACATCCATTAATGGGAGTTGCGTTGCACCATTGCGCAACAAGCCTTGCCTTAACCCCCTTAGCACCTTAGCGTAACGCCCCCTTAACCGCAGCATGCAGATATAGGATGGCAAACAAGGTATATGCGAGCTGTGGTAAAGGCAATTCGTTAAACCCCAGCCAGCTCCAGCCAGTAAAAGCGCTAATGCTCAGCTTTGCCCTACTATGAGATATGCACATAGGAGACGGATGGCACGGCATTCCCGCCTTTTTCTGTGGCGGATTCCAGCAGGGTATGCGAATTTACTACGTTTACTACTTCGTAGCCGTAAATTGATAGAATCATACTGGCTCAGCCACATATCGCATAAAATGTATCGACAAATCTGCCTTGAAAGTTTATTTGCCGCATCATTTGACTCATTCAAGGCGGCAGGACAATTTTGACCAACCTCCATCCAGGTCGCTGCAGTTAGTAGATCACCTGCATCTTGTTGGTGTATCCATGCCTTATATCTTCGTCGTTGGAGACATATAGAGTAGGGCTGGGCAGTGTTGATCTAATTTAATAGGGGTAGTTTATTCCAAAATTACCGAATAGACCTGTCAACTTCTAATATTCTTCCCTCTGCATCCTAGGGAAAGGTAAGACGGCCTCCTGCAGGAAATCTGCATGATGGAGATCATCCATTCATACATTTTTAGCTATAAATGGGAGTGGATGCTACCTGAAGTATTTCGGGACGATGCATCTTTTTTGTGTAAGTGTCTTAACGTCGACAAAATATATCTTCGTTAGATAGACAAACGGTACTTACCCAGGTATCCTATGTCACATCTCCTGAAACTACGCAGGTACCTATTATTAAACTATTACAGACAACCAATATAATATAACAAACAACGTGCGTTTGCTCAAGCTGTCAACTGTCAATATACCTTCATAAGTTGTTTGTCATTGCAAGGCGCTGAAGCCGGTGTAGGTGTTACTTCAAGCATGACGGATAGCATCTCACTTAGCAACCACGTGCCTGATATTGCGATCAGTGTGATAATTTTATCTATTCTAATTTTTACCCAAATGCAGATAATAAGAAACCTGCTGAAGTCATCGTTTCTTATTATTATTCTCACTTACCAAGATACTGTTACCCTAGGTCAGCAAGTCAGACCTCAGCCCTGGGCTTAAATATTTCTCCCATAAGGTTCTTGCCTAAGGCGCCAGCAACCAAATTATTTCTTGCTTAGAACATTAGTACCATTTCTTGTAACCTAGGTAGGTACCTAAGGAAAGGGCAATTCACATACTTCAGCTTCGTTGGCAGGCACGCTACTCCCTTTACACCTGCCTCACGCTAGCCGTGCATCTTATGCATCTCAGCCTCATCTCAGTGCATTGTCACTGCCCTCTTTTTCGTACTTTTCCAGAACATCAGATTCTTCAAATACTAACACGAATTCGGCTACGGCTCATCGCTGTTGACGACATAATATGACAGATCTGCCTACCTAGTCATTCGTCTATCAAATAAGCTGAAGGGGTAGTAGCAATGTGCGACTTACCCCCGCATACTAACGATACCAACATGGCCACGTCCCTGAGCGAACCAACTAGCGGTCAGTCTGACGCGCACAGCGACAAGGAAATAACCGCTGGAGCAGATGTCGCAGAGTCATCGCCTAACTCTGAGCCCAGTGAGCCGGGCGGTGACCAAAAAGCTACCAATAGCACTCCTAGTGCCGAAGGTGAAGCAGACTCCGCCAACGTAGAAGAGGCTTCCGATGCTATTGATGGAGGGGTTCAGCTTGGTATTGAACCCGAGGAAAAGAAAAAGAAGAGGAAGAAGAAGCCTAAGAAGAAAGGTGCTGCTGCTCGAAAAAATGTTACTGGCTTCGAAGGTTGGTTCTATGCTTGGTTATGCAGGGCGAAGTCTCGTCTAACATTTAGTCTAGAATTCTATGCCGATACTCCTATAACACCGGCCGAAGCTGCCAAGGAGAAGAAAGAAATCTATAACGCGTAAGTGTCCATATCCTACCTCGAAACGAATCATGCTAACGTTATCGTAGGTCACGCTCCTTCTCTGAGTATGATTCACGAATGTTACTTAGCCACACGGGACGTTAATGACTAACCAATAACAGCCGTATAGAAGAATGCATCCAGAGATACCGAGCTAGCCGCCGAATGGATAGCGAACGTCTTATGCTCTTCAACAAATATTTGTGGCTCGGGGGCATCGACTCATCTCCACGCCAGTTCACTGGCTTTGCCGAGGACCGCGAGGCTCTTGCCGAGGCAGACGCCGATGAGATTCGCCAGATGACGGCAACTGACTTCATTGGCGGTAGTGGTACCCGTTTCTACGATCCTCTAGAGCCTGAGCATTGGTTCGTTGACTTCGAGGGCATCGTGAAATGTTTCCTGTGAGTTATATGGGCGAAATTAGATTCAGAACAACGAGATAGCTAACAGCAGTATCAGATCTAGAATTGTCCCAATCATCTACATGTACGATGAGGCAGCTAATCTCCAAGCTGCGGGCCTCATCAAGAATTTCCTCAACTATGTTCTAATGCACGACGTTTGCCCCGAATACACCTTTGATATCATGGCTGCTAGACGAATCTGCGACGCTGCACCTTATGAATTACGCATGGTGCACGAGCTTATTCTTTCACTCCCGGGTTCCTTCAATACTGCTGCGCACTCGCTTTTCTGCGACCGACAGGTAGACAAGCATGATGTGCCTGATCACTATGATAAGTTGATTGCGTTCCGCGTTACAGTCTTCTCATCAGCACTTGACCAGAAAATCAAGAAGCGACTTATGGACTCCGACCCTACTACTATTCATGTTGTTAATACAAAGGAGGAGACTTACGAAGTAGTGGATATAATCCTGCCGCGCCAGCGAGACATCGTGATGGTAAAGGAACAGCTAGAGGAAGCTGGCCACTCCGGCAAGGGAAAACCGGCAGGTATTCTTGTTCTAAAGCCTTCCGTCGTCGACTTCGGCTTCAATAACTTACCTCGTCCGGATCAAGTCGACTTCACTAGCGCAGAGTCAGAAGATTACTTGCTTGAAGACGATTTACTTGACAAGTTTGACAAGGGAATGAAGGTCAAGGCCATTGTATGCGAGCTCAACATTGGTGTACGCTTCATCAAGGCGGTCAAGGACGTTCGCGTCTCTTTTGACTTATTCTTACCTCAGATCCTGATGGAGAACTGGAAGGACCCTGCTCCTAGCACGCGCCCACCTCCATCAGCCTCTAACCCAAATGCTGAGGAGAAAGCCATAGCTGATGACGACTAGATGATACGAGATCGTGATATCGGGCTCAATGAAACAGTCGAAGGAGCCAAGTGCGCATAAGAAACCGGATAAAGGCTTGAACGGAGTTTTATGTGGGCTCGGATTAAAGAGCTACTCGGAGATGTTTTTCATCGTGGCACATAGGGCAGAGTGAAGGCCTAGACTATGAAGTCTCTAATGTACTATTTGCTATACCCGGTAGACTGACAGCCGCAAGGCAAACGAATTGCAATGAATTCCTGAACTGAGATCTCAGCCTTAACTTGAAATTGTTAGACCGCATATTGCTTTGATAGACTTTTGCCCCGTGAAAGTTAAGCACTGGCTGGGGGTTGCTCCCTAATTACTAAACCTAGAGGTATTCAAAAGCCCTAGATCTCGATGGTGTGCGAGCTCTTGGCGCCGTTGCCTCTAACGCGCAACAGCGTATCGTGGCATTGGAAAATTTAGGCCGCCGTGTCTCTTGGCGCGAGTCCGCGCCGCACAGCTTGCCTGAAAAAACCGGGATGGTTGGCTATTATTTCTTGGCCTTTTCTTCGCCAACTGGGCGTGTTATCCTCCGCGTCGCCCTAATATACGCGCACTGCGGTGTGGTAGCCCCCTTCCTACTCTACCGTGGGGTCTTCGTAGCTTGCCTATATTAACAATGAGCGTTCAACAGGACTACCGACTTATTTGATAGCGAGTGGCCTATCTTATAAGTAGGCTTGGTTAGGTAGGTTGATAGGGCTAAGAATCAGGGTAGTTTAGGTAGTTAGGAGAAATATCGACCCCGGACGGAGCAATTTAGGGGACGAGATCTAAAGCCAGCATCCCACCCAAGACCTTGGCAGATTTGGCAGAGGCCATTTCGAAAAGGTTGTCTGCCTGGTATTGGTCTGGCGAGTTTCTCGGCATGGACCGAAAGGATGGAGTCGTTGTGCTTCAGAGGCCGAGAAACATCTTCTCCCCACGATTTCTTCCCGTCGATCTTTTCTCTCTTTATCCCTTTACGATCACCTTCCCACCCTCGTTTATCAATACGTTCTCTTTTCCCTATCTGATTTTTTTTTAATTGTTAATAACCGGCAGCTGCTTTGCTGTGACTCGTGAGTTCCGCTGTTCTTGAAGCGCGCTTATATTGCGAAGGCCCTGCTCAGAGGGGCTTACCCGGTAATCGCGATGGAGACCCGGCGACGAATTGTCCAGCCAGTAAGCAGTCGACAGTGGCAGATTGCCAAAATCGTGCTGCAGTCTACTTCGCTCGTGTTTTGCATTATAGTCATTGGGGTCAGCGTTGGAAAGACGTGGGAAGGCGATTATGGCGTGGGAATACTGACGGTACCTGTCACCGCTGCGACGGCGGCCTGGACGATCGCCGAGTTCGTGACTCTTTTTATCCGGAAGCGGAGAGGCTCTCCAGGTCGTGGAATTCACCCCGGCGCCCACGTCGGCGTGCAGCTTATCATATTCCTGGCGATGATCTATGTGCTGTTCTATTCGTGTATGCTGTGGAGGAGTGTCCAGAACAGCATTATACGGTGCAACGAATGGGAACGAGATCCTAAGGATCCGGACTGGGTCATCGAGAATTACTCCGAAATCGACTGGCGTACGAATTCCATCTACACCATGTCGTATTACTGTCCGGAGAGGAACCGCATTCTCGTCAATAGCAAGTCGTTTCAGTCAGCCGTGCAGGCTCTTATCGCGTTCTGCGGTCTATTATGGTAAATTTTCCTGTCGCCCGGCGTTTTTAGTGTCAGGTTCCTGACGAATGAGCAGGGCTATACACTTCAGTCTTTTCGTTCGGGCATGCGTCGAAACGCAACGAGGGAATAGGATCCGTCCTGCTGCAGTGGTATACCCACCGCCGGTATGGCCAGCGCAGTACGGTGTTAACTACCCCCCTAACAGCTACCCTCGAGGAGGACCGGGACCGGCGCCGATGAAGTCTTCATATTACGGATAAAGTCGCTTATATAATTGGATGCTTTGAGCATTAAATCCTCTTTTTTATCGAGACCATAGTAATGCGGAATGATAAAATTATTACTGAAGTCTAAGCTTAAAATGAAGCTTGCAAATTTTACTGTAATTAAGTACGAAGCCGTGAGTAGGTGGTTGTCGTCTTTAATACCCCAGGGGTTTATGCTGTTACGATCCAAGTGCTCGATATCTGTCTTCGGAGTTTGGGGGAGGGACAGGATGACTATGATTGAGCGAAGATTTTCATTCAATTAGGTATGCTATCAACTTCTTCACGGCAAAGACATACCTATGATGACATAGTAACTAGTATATCTGATACTAACGGTATCATAAATTTAATATATTTCAACTACGCCAAGTGAATTTCTCAAGTCGATTGTTGACTTCACTGATGTCAATACGCAGTGAGTTTAGTGTTATTCATATAGTTGAGACCTCAATATTGCCTTCGAATATTATACTTCATCCTTTATATTTTAGTAGCTAATAGTAACTGACTTGTTCTGTCTTACATAATGCAACTCATAGATATTAGCTTAGGTAAGCTAAGACATCCGATAGGGAATCAGCTGCTTTTCGTCATGGCGGGGGCGGGGCTGGGCTGAGAGAGGTATCGACTGACTTGCGCCAGCCGCATCGCTGCCACAGTCTTGTAACACTACATATATGCTTTTACTTTACACAGCATACCGCATCTGCTTATAATGTACTAGTCTAGGTACCCAACTAGTCCCTCGATATTTTGACATATTACATATTACGACTCCGTAGAATCAATTACACCTTTGGGACTACGGAACCTCGTCAAGATGGTAATGCCCCACGATCCGAATTGCTCCAAAGTTTTGACATACTAAAGACTAAACAGAGCTCCGAGGCAAGACTCTACACCTTCTCTCAGGAGACTAAAGACCACCTACGCAAATTCCGCTTAACTACATCAAGAGCCAGTGGGCCACAAGCTGTGATCTGTATGTATGTCTATCTCTATCCCCATCTTGCTCCAGGGTATTTCGAGTATAGCTGATCTAATGCGCATCTAAACAGATTACATCGACAAGAAGACGTATGAGATTAAGCAAGATGATGATAAGGTAGTATACAAGTCTCTCGACGAAATTGCCGACGACCTGCCTGATAATTCGCCGCGCTATATTCTTCTAAGCTACCCCTTGACTCTGGTATACCCGCCTATCCCTTGCTGCTGAGCAATTACATGGCTCAAGATTTGCTAACTACTGCTGCAGCCATCCGGCCGCCTGTCTGTGCCCTACGTCCTCCTATACTACCTACCGAATACATGTAATTCGGAGAGTCGCATGATGTATGCCGGCGCGAAGGAGCTCTTGAGGAATACGGCCGAGGTCGGTAAGGTGATTGATGTGGAGAGCCCGGAGGATTTAGAAGATATCCCCAATAAGTTGAGCACCGAATAGGCTACCTCCGACCCGGCCAGCCCCCGCTTGCCAGATATTTAGAGATTTCTCTATACCAATTACAGCGAGATGCTATCTTTGTCTGATACTTGAATTTTTTTCAGTCGTCGGGTAATATATGTTGTGCGCCGAGGCCTATCTCGCGAGCAACGCCTTGAACGACACCCTTGAGTGCTTTACATGCTGGACTATCGGGATAATGGTCGAAGAAGCTCTCCCCGTAGTCACATGCCATCCCTATCCTTGGGTCAAGTGGTACCTCGCCTAAGAACGGGATGCCCATTTCCTTTGCCAAAGCCGCGCCACCCCCAGTAGTAGCCTTAAAGATTTGGCTCTCGTGTGTGCAGTTCGGACACACAAAACCGCTCATGTTCTCTACTAGACCTAGCACTCTTATCCCTGCTTTTCTGCAGAAATCGATTTCTTTTCTTACATCGAGAAGTGCTACTTCTTGCGGCGTTGTAACCATAACGGCACCGTCAATCCCGCTCTCTTTCAAAAAGCTATTCACGCTGAGATGCTCATCGCTTGTCCCCGGAGGTGTATCGACGAGTAAGAAGTCCATGTTTCCCCATTCTACTTCTTTTAAGAATTGCTTGATTAAACCATTCTTCTTTGGACCACGCCAGATTATTGCGTCATCACGATTTGGTAACATGAACTGTATGCTCATGACGCCAAGATTGTCGGCAACCCAGACAGGCGACCAACCCGTGTTACTAATATGTATCGTCTCAGACTCCACGCCCATCATTTTGGGTATGCTGGGTCCACAGATATCAGTGTCCATGATACCAATAGTCATGTCTTCGTTCGTTGCGAATGCGTGTGCGAGGAGACTCGTGAACGTGCTTTTGCCTACGCCACCCTTGCCGGATAGGACGAGGATCTTGTGCTTGATTCCCGATAGCCGTTCTGAAATTAACGGTATGTCCGGATCTGGACCCTTGGGCGCCGATGCGCATATCGCTTGGTTCGGACAGCCAGCACATGAATCGGCCTTGCCGGCTTGTTCAGATTCAGGGCCTGGGCAGTGCTCGGGTTCAGGGGCGACAAGTTGGGGACGCGCCTTAAGCGGGTTGTCGATGACGTCCTGGACGGCTTCGGGCTCTTCTAAGGAGGGCGCCATTGTTACGATAAAAGACAATGTGAGCGGGTTGAAATAGAGACAACAATATATCTGGAGGATATCAGTGGTATTTCTATTCGGAAAGAAGTCTGGTGTATTAAATTAGGTAAGTTGCTAATTAGTATGAAGCTTTGCTTAGAAATCTGGGAGAAATAATAGGCACATGTAAATGTAGGATCGAAGGTGTTATCGATAATACGGCTCTTTCTATGTCACTTGGTGGGGTAAATACGTAGGACAGTACAAGTGAGCCTCCGGAATCGCTAACATGCAGATATGCAGCTGGATCCATACGTAATGACCCATATTAAACCGAGACTGCATAAAAGTAACGCACGGACTACCTAAACCTGATATGGTCTGCGCGGGTCTGCGCGACGTGAAGATGGAAAACATATCGACAGGGTCCGTTTTAAATCAAACAATTTAACATCAACATCGTCGAACACCCCCTCCTTTCAATGTAGGTATCCATCAGTCTTTGCCCAAACATCGTCGTCCACATCTATAGTATCCGCATTTAATCGGTCTGGCTACCATAATTCCTCCAATGAACACAAAATTGAAACCATGGCTTTCCCTGAGCGCGGTCGAGCTCAGCCGAAGCTCGAAGAAACAGCTAACCCCTTCGACGAACGTGAACTTTTACGCTCGTTAAATAAGCTGTCTCTTTCCACTTCCTCTGCGAATTCTACGACGAGACCCTCGGCCTTGCGCATATCTTCCTCTCCAACCTCGAATGCGCAATCAAATCATACAGATTCAAGATTGACTTCTATTTCCCCTAGCGCTAGGGCGCCCTCTCGAAGTCCTGTAAACCGGGTTAACTCGAACGGACTCACCTCTCTGTCCCGATCTTCAACGCCGACTTTGTTACGGAAGACTTCAATGAATTCTCTACACTCCTCGAACGGGATTGCCCCGAGTCGCGCACCCTCACGTCGAGGTAGCTCTAATCACCTCTCGCCAAATGGTCCCAGGTCACCATTGAACATAGCGGAATTCAGGGAGAAGCCGGCACTTACTGCCTCCTTTGTAGCAGGCTCTTACATGAAGAAAGAGTTGGAATTGCTTCATAGCGAATCGGCAAGCTACCATCCAGAAACTATAGTCATTCTGAATGATGCATGCTATGGACATCGATATTCGAGACCTCGCGCCACCAAGGGCGACTTGAATAGCATTGTCGAACGACCTGAGAGAATCCAAGCGAGTGTACTTGGTGTATCAATGGCATATGTTCGACTCGGGGAACGACATTGCGACGGAAGATACCCTATCTACCCCGAACTTGATCCCACCTCGATTCCCACTGTCCCTTTTCATATCCGCAAGACAACCCGCACTCTTGCACTAGATTCAGCAGCAGTGACCAATGTTCATGGAACGAAGTGGATGGAAGAACTGAAGATTATGTGCGAATCCGCCGAAACGAAACTCGCCCTAAACACGAACGAGTTGCGCAGACCCGAAATGAATAGGGGATCACATGCAAGTCCTCCCCAGGAGCTCCACAAGGGAGACCTTTACCTATGTTCGGAGTCCTTAAATGCATTCGAAGGCGCCCTCGGGGCCGTTTGCGACGCCGTAGATGGAGTTTTCAATGACTCCCCGTACAAGCGTGCCTTTGTCGCCGTGCGTCCTCCTGGTCATCATTGCTCCGCGTCCCACCCGTCAGGTTTCTGCTGGGTCAACAACGCGCATGTGGGTATTATGCACGGGTTCTTGAATCATGGATTGACACATGCGGCAATAATCGACTTTGATTTGCACCACGGAGACGGTTCCCAGGCCATCGCTTGGGACCACAACAAGCGTAGCTTTACAGCAACAAAGAATATGTCTGCATGGAAAAGAACATCTATTGGATATTTCAGCCTCCACGATATTAACTCCTATCCTTGCGAGTACGGCGATGATGAGAAGGTTAGGAATGCCAGTGTCTGCGTGGAAAATGCGCATGGGCAGTCTATATGGAATGTTCATCTACAGGAATGGAAGTCAGACGTAGAGTTCTGGAAGTTATATCAGTCCAAATATTCGGTTCTCTTAGACAAAGCTCGAAGTTATCTCCGAACGCAGACCGAACGATATCGCGCTTCTGGTCAGGTGCCTAAAGCCGTCATCTTTTTGTCTGCTGGCTTCGATGCGAGCGAATGGGAGGGCGCGGGGATGCAACGACATAAGGTCAATGTTCCAACCGAATTCTATGCTCGTCTTACTCGAGATGTGGTCAAGCTTGCATCTGAAGAAGGGCTTAGTGTTGATGGCCGAGTTATTAGCGTCCTCGAAGGCGGTTATAGCGACAGGGCCTTATATTCAGGTGTTTTCAGTCATCTGAGTGGTTTGGCTGGTGATGACTCTACTCCGGTAAAGGAAGAGATTCCCAATGGACTCGGCTATGAGATGGGCAATAGGGTTGGCTCGCTCAGCAGACGAAATACCTTGACTGGGCAGGGCATCGCAGGATTCCCATATGACCCAAACTGGTGGTCTGGTTCTGAACTCGACCAATTTGATGCCTTCGTGAATGCACCACCTATAGAACAGCCTAAAAAGCTGCGGGCTTTCGTACCTGGGAACTATTCTTCCCCGACACAGGCATCAAGCGCAAAGGCAATCGATCCCACTAAAGTCCGACGGAGCGTGTCGGGATTTTCTCAGTTATCCGTTTCCCGGCCCCCAACTCCACCTCTACCTGATGTGCCTTGGACTGCTGCTGCTCATGAGTTAAGCAAGCTGCTCATTCCGAAAGACCGCCAGGTCAGCAGCTTTAAGTTCGAGGAGCTGAATGCTGGTGCAACTAAAGCCAAACATGAACGTCAGTCTCTTCCTCAGAGCGGCTCAACTAGTAATGATGCAGCTCCAACTGTAGCCCCGACTGCCGCCCCTGTAAGGAAGTCTCAGCGGGAGAGAAAGCCGGTTAAGTATGCTGAAAGCGAAGACCCAAAACCACGTAGGAGAACAGTTGGGGGCTCGTCTATCCTCGCCACGGAGAAGGTAAGCTCCCACTTAAAACACATCTCGAGTAGGTATCTAACGATAATCTATAGGCTCTCGCTCGAGGGATTCCTACACAAAATGGGTCCGGACAAACTCGAAACCTTGGTGCGGTAGTCGCAATTAATGATGCACCCGGTGCACTACCAAGGCCTAGTACCTCACAAACCATTCGCCCCGAATCATCTATGAGTGTACGAACCCAGGCATCTACCGCGTTGAATGTGAGGAAGACTAGACCAGCGGTGCCCATTAAAAAGGAGAGTATTCGGGCACCAAGAAAGACCAAAGCCCCAGTTGTCAAAACTGAGGATGCTTCACACCCTGCGAGAAAAGAGCTTCCAGTTGATTCATCTGGAGATTCGACCGCAATCGTGAAGGATTCTACAACCGACATAGAAAAGATCACTGGTGGTATGAAAAAGATTAAGATCAATGTGCTCACCAAGGAGAAGAAAGAAGCTAGGCAAAAAGCTGAAGCGGAAGAAAAGGCAAGAAGGGATAATCAAGCCAGCCAGGAATCGAAGCCGATCGAGAACCCCAAATTTTCCGATTCCGCAATTGGAATATACCCTTCGCTGCCAGTCGTGGGGGGAGGTGAACATACAACCATACAGCCCTCACAACCAAATGCTGTGCATGGCGATGAGAGAGTTTCAAAATTGGGCACCGGATTACCCAATATCTTGCTACCCCAATCAGAGATTGAGCGATTCAGTCCAGTAAATGTACCGACCATCTTAACACCAGCTGAGCCCGACCAATCAGAGTTCCCCCCGAGTCCTCCGGAACAACTCACTCCAGAGGCGAGTGAAAGCAAGGCGACATTTATGCAGCGTCAACACAATGGACAACTTCCAGCTACCGTTCCGTTTTCCAGCCCGATCCGTATGCCGGAACATATTGGTAGTTCACCAGCTCGACAAAATGGAACTCGAATTCCTACGTTCAGCGCATCATCAGTCCCTTCGAGCCCGGCCCAAAGTGGCGGACACGGGTTTACTTCTACGTCAAGCATACCCTTTGCTCCTCGATCAATCCAAGAGTCTTGGTCAAAGCCGAGAAACCATGTTCCGATTCGAGCACGGCCTCAAAGCAAAGGTGAAGCAAAAGATGGAGGTGGAGGTATTTGGGAGATACCCGAGACACCGCAACGCTACTAATTCTCGTTATGGGAATTATATAAATACTCGAGCGAGTATAGGTATTGTATGCGCTCGTCAGTTTAGCGGGAAATAAGTATAGTGTAGGGGTGCTAAGAGGAGATTCTCACGTGCGGTGAGCGGTGAGATAATGGCGTTTACAGGGATTGGCTTACAGATTCTACTGTCGAGTTATTGATCCCAGGAGGTTTCGTTGTTGTTTTGCCATTATTCTACGATACCCTTTTTTCCAATCCAGCCGGTTTGGCTCGTTGCAAATACTATGCTTATAATATGCTCTACGAATTCTGCTCTAAGAATAGTAAATATAATTTCAAGTGCTGTAATAAAATTCTCGTGTAGTCGGCCTAGTTTTAGGTAGTTAATATCAGTGGCAATAACGTTTCTGTTATATAATATCAATACAATAATGCAATAACTACCTATTTAATACGATAATTTCTGGGTTTACTATTTTTTATTAGATGTTATAGACGCTATGAGTAGAGGTGAAACCAAAATGCCAACCCCAGCCATATATGCCTACAGGAAGGGAAAAAATGCTACTCTTCGCAAATGGTATCTAATATGCTAAGGAAAGAAGTCGAAGAAAAATGACGGCGTTTCGTTTTCGTTTTCTTTTTCGTAACATCGTTTTTAGATTATAGGTTGAAGCCCGAACCAGCAACGCCAGTGCTAATGCTATCCAAGGGGCTCTGGTTGAGCGGAGCCCCTCCCTCAAAATCGGGACTCACGTCCTGTAGTATGTCGTTCATCTCCTGGTCCGTGAATTGGAAATCCATGTCCATATCCTCCGGCAGCATCGCGAGCGCCGCGTCGCCGGCGGCGGCGACGGTTGCGATATCAGCGGCTACGCCGGGGGTAAGCGGACCGACGTCGTGCGCGCTCGCGGACGCATCGTCTGGGAGACCAGCACTTCGCACGGCGGCCTTGAAGCGCTCGAGAAGTACCGGGTCGTCGCAGCTGGTCTTCTGCATGGCCATGATCTGCCGCGCGCGCTCGCGAAGATGGTCGTCGGAGGGGAAGACTCCTGTTCGTCCTACCTCGCGACGCACGTAC